TTGAAGCATAGACTCTAAAGCCTTATGCATACCTTATGTAAGAGAGAAAGATGTGAAGGCTTTGATTAGATTTTATAGCCTTATATCTGTAATAGAGAGAGGGATATGCACAATTATATATATATATATATATATATATAGATAAGTCTTTTATTGAAGCGAGTCTCTCCATGTCTAGGCAGCTCTCTGCCTGAAGAGTCATCTTAGTCCATCTGCAAAAGTTTCTCTTGTCTAGGGCATCAGCTCGTCAGTCACTCTCCATTCCATAGCTCTTAGCTGTGTTTTTCTCCAACTGCCTGTTGGCCGTTACAATTCAATTGTTACAAATTAACTGGCCGCACTAATGTTTCACGCTTGCTTAGCCGCCAAGCTCGCCAGAGCCGCGTCGATATTGATGCCTGACTCTGCTTGGACTTGGATTTGATTGTTGGTATCGGCAAACGGCAACGCGACGCAGCCACAAAAACCGCTGACACAGTGCCCTTTGCCATCGACATGGGCATCCGACATCGGCATCGCCGCCCTCACACCCTCTGGAGTCTACTACTCTACTCATTTACATCCGCATTGTTTTGGCATCTCATCCATGAAATTTATAGCTGCTGCGGACCGAGTGAAAGGTGCGCTGACTGCGCGACTCAATGACTATCTGACTGACTGTCTGTCTGTCTGTCCTTCTGGCTTTGACTCTCTGACTGACTTGTTATTGCCCGTTTTTGCAATTTATGTTTTTATTTAGTCGTACATGTGCCAAAATGTTTGTTCTCCCACGCTGCTAATTAATATACAAATTACGTAGCCTAATCAGCCATGCCACAGAGCTTTTCGCTGTGGCATGCAAATATATGCGGCGATTGGCCCCGAAAAAAAAAGGCTGAAACAATGCAAAGAACAATGCCACACCCTATCGACAAAGTTCTCTCTATAGAGATATCTGCATATATTTGCCTTTGGCTGGGGATGTCTATTTGATTAATGTGCCGCGACAGCCAAGGACAAGGCATGGCAGGATTTTTTTTTACTTTTTTTGACTCTGGCTTAGTCACCTGGCAACATTGTTGCATTTTGGCTTTCAGATATAAATTCAAATTGTGTCAATTACATTGCGGCGGCTGCTTATCGACGACAGCCACTGACAAACTGCCCGGCAATCGCAGTCGCAGTCGCAGTCGTAGTTGGAGTTGTTGCAATTGCACTTGGAGCTGTTTGGCCTGACAAACCTGCAGCAGCAACAACAACAACAACAACACTAGCAACATTTGGTTTCCATTTCGACTCGGGCATAGCCTGACATGTCTCTGCCAGCTTGAAGTTGTCGTCGTGTCAGTAGGGGGAAATACTAGTACATACTACATAGATTTCCAGTTTCATTTTGCGGTTTCCTTCTTTTGTGTGTTTTCGTATGTTTTATTATTTTTATTTCATTTTATCTTTAGTCTCCGCTTGGCTCACGTGCAGAGCGAGAGTTGTTTTGGCCACTTTGGAAATTATGCATATCTGGAAATTTATGCAGCGTTAAGAGATATTTATTAACTTTTTTTAATTATTCGAAATATGCCGAGATGAGCAAAAGAGAAATTGTTAAATATTTTCATACATTTTTTATGATTTAGTTGGATTAAAAATAGATTTGTAAGTGAATGAGCTTTAAGAGAAAGAGAGATAGATATTGATGGGATTTTTATATTTATGCTAAATTTGATTTGATTTATGTTGGAGTTCCCATTGCCTTAAATTAGTTAAGATATTAATGCAATTAAATTTTTGTTTTATTTACTTATAAATATTTCTTTCTGGCATTAATATTAACACACATACTAAAGTATGTTGAATATATTTAAATTTAAATTTATATTTTTTCTATTAGATAATATGAGTTACAATTTTTTTTTAACTTTTTTATACGAGAAATTTATAGAAATATTTCCTATTTTTTTTTTTTAAATTTATTATTTAAAACAAAAATAAATAAAATAAAATAGAATATTAAAAAATAAATAAAAATGTAATATTTACAACATAATTATTAATTTTCATATAATATAATATAATATAATAATATAAAAATATACATAAAATTTGTTATATTGAATTTTAGTTTTCTAAAATATTAATAATGAATATTACATATAATTATATGGATTATAATAGTCGCACTACATTAGTCAAGTCTTTTATTATATGTATGTTACGTATATAAATTTCTCAGTTTCTTAAGCATTTCCATAATTTCAAGCAAGACTCGCATAACTTCACTTCTCTGCTCATATTGCTCGAGCAACCCTCGCTGTGTGTGTGCACTACACATGTATAAGAAACATTTAATTTATGAACGCAGGTTTTTCATTTTAATGTCAGGCATTAGAGCTGCCCTGCGGCTCCGCAGCGATCTGTTCTAATTGGTTTATAGATTTGTCTGACTCGATTTCTGCGCGTTGCGTTTGGGTTTGGGTTGGCGTTGCGCTGCTCTGTGCTCGATTGCCAATTGCTTTATTAATGGCCATTTGGCTGTGGCCTGGGCCAGACACCAGGCGAGGTCTCGGCCTGGGTTAATGTCATCCGTGGCCAGCGGGCATAAATGTGGCTCTTGTTGTTGTTGTTGTTGGATAAGTAAAAGTTATATGGCCAAAGTATGTCACGGAAATGGCTTAGTTAAAATGCGTGCGGCTGCAAAGGAAGGGAAGGAGTGAGGAAGGGCATGGGGCGAGGGCGATGGTGTGACAGCTGAATAGTTGAATATATATGTATATGTGTATGTGTATGTATATATGTATATGTATATATGTATATATGCTGCATTAATAAACAGCAAAATAGAAATCGAAACGAACTGCTGAGCCAGCGAAGCGAAGGAGGAGGCCCTGCAGCAACTTGGCCGCACATGGGCATTGCCAAGACAAGCAACAGCAACAGCAACAACACAAGTCAAGGCACATCCTTTAATGGCAGTCCGTGTTCGTTCTGTTCATTCTGTCTGTCGCTGGCAGATCCGCCCGCCTGTCGCGCCTACTGCGTCAGTCAGTCAGCCAAGCGAGGCCAACAGCAACAGCAACAGTTGCTGCTGCTGCTGTTGCTGTTGCCCACTTGAACATGTAGTGCAGTCATCGTCGCGCATTTTAAGAGCCTCGCAACTAAATGCAACTCTCAACACGGCAACTTGGCAAGGACCGAGAAGTGAGCACTGCCTAGACAGGCCGCAAGACACGACACCAACAACACCAACAACAGCAACAACGGCAACAACAGCAACAGACGCATCGTCAAACATATAGGCTATGTGCTATAACTCATTAATATTAAATGCTGCTGCCAAGACAAGCCCCTTAGTCTGAAATATACACACGCACACACACACTCGCACACACACACACACACACACACGCACCGTTGTTGTTGTCTCTCTGTGGCTGGAACTAAAAATTTATGCGCATTTTGTTTCAATTTCATACACACGTGACTTGTAAATTATCCATTGATGTGGCAAACGCGTTCCGATGCGAAGGAGGCGCGTCTACGGGTGGGGCGTGGCCAGGAGCATTGGCGACAGGATGAGCAGCAGCAGCAGGACTGCCAGTCTCTGTTGAGACGTGAGCTGCAAACGATTTCTTTTAAAATGATAATTGCAAAAGGCGACAAAAACGAAAAAAAAAAAAAAACTGTCTATAAATATATACAAACAATACAGATATGTATGTATGTGTGCGTGTGCATATAAATGAACGACTGGCAGACACGCCCACGCGCGCACAGATTGCGCCGCAGATACACAGACTCACTCAGAGGGCGAGAGAGGGAGACAGAGAGAGACAGACTCATGCGAGGCATGCAAATCTCTGCTGCAAGCCGCAAACACACAAAAAGTAATCAATTTTCTTGTGGCGTGTTACAAAATGAAGCGAAAAAAAAAAATAAAAAAATAAATAAACAAAGAAAAAATTATGCCAGCAGCCGAAAGCAAAAGTTAAGCGAGAACTGTGACAACAACTGTTGTTGCCCCGAAAAAAAAGTGAAAATTATGGCACGTTTCTGCTGCTGTTGTTGTTGTTGTTGTGGCGGCAACGATTGCTGCTGCTGCTGCTGCGACGAAGTTTCAGTTATAAAGCCATAAATACGCATATTAGCCTCATTTTAAACGTGGCTCGCGGCATACATATATGGGTATATGCTATGGGAGATAGTCAGAAATGTTTATATATAGAAATATGTGTGAGTGTAAGTGTGTATAGGTGTGTATATACGTGGGTCTTAACAAAGATACTGGGTTACATAGGATAGCATTTCGCATAAATATGTATTTGGTCAAAAGTTCGATTAGAAAATATATTTATTTTGTTCCTCTTCGTTCTCTTTATTCAATTAATTTAGATAGTATTGCCAATAATTTACTAATATTTTTCACTTAAAAAATAATCACTGCAATATTTAATAGACTTTAGCCAACATTTCAATTATATTTTCTTTACCTAAATAATTCAATTTAAACTTGGCAATTTACGAAATTCTCAGCAAGAAAAATAAATACGAAATGCAACAACGATTTTCAATCCAAATAATTCAATTGAGCTTGAGCCAAGCTGAGCTGAAAATGTCTCAAGCTGAGCAAAAGGCGCATGAGACAGCCAATTGGAATTTTCAAGTCATCGCAAAGGAATCTGTGAGTCTGTTAGCCTTCACATATGAACAGAAATGTCAAAAATGTATAAAACAGTTTTAAACTGAGCTCACACACTTCATAAGAAAACACAATCTTGCAGCCGCAATCAGCTGGTCAACTTTTGGGTTAACCTTCGTCTTGGCCCTCTCTCGCTGTGTGTGTTCTGCGCTGTCAAGATTTGTTTGGTTCTCATGGCGTAATTAGGCATAATTACACATGTCAACAGCAAGCCGAGCTGATGTTGGCCAGTTGAAACTGAAAACAGCAAACGGAAGACGAGAAAACGTGAAAATGGAAATTGGAAACTGGAAAACTAAAGTCAGATAACTAAAGGCTGTAGCTAAAGTTTCCCAAATGTTGTAGACGCAGTCGCAGTTGGTTTATTTTGACAGATTTCACTCAGTTCTCGCTCTGCATGTGTGTATGTGTGTGTGTGTGTGTGGCACATGCAGGAAATGTTAAATCTGAACAATAACAACGCATGGCTCATTTCCATTGTCGTCTACACGACTTGCCTCGACTCGCAACGCATTGAGACTTGTTGCTGGATTTCCTTTGGGTAATTATTTGCATGCAACTTGTGCGTCTTCTGCTGCCACTCGAGTCAGTTTGTGGTCAGATCCGGACCCAGGTCCAGCCCTGGTCGAAATTAACCCAAGTGGCATGTTGAACCTAAAAAGAAAAAAAAAAAAAAAAAAGAAAACAGCAGAGCAACACGTTAATAATGTAACAGAAAATCATAATGAAAAATATATATGTGTGTATGAGATATATTGAAGAATATGGTAAATGTTGAATATGAAATACTCTTGCTGGGAAGATTGCAGAAATGGGATGTTTGATATGTTATATATGATGATGTGATATGATATATGATATACGATATACATACATGTATACATTTATATTCTTATTTATTTATCAGACGTTAACGACTTTGTTAGACAATAACTTATACTTAGGCAGTGTCTACCGAGGGAGAGATTAACTTAGGCTAGATACTTGACATTAGGAATTTAGACAATCTATATAGACTCTTAAGTTGCTGTCAAAATGAGTTCAAAATAAACTCAATATATCTCTGGAAAATATTTTTTGATATACTGATCTCTCTCTATCTATGCCAACAACTTTATGCCCCATTCCTTTTCTCAATTGTATATATATCACATATACATATGTATATACTCTACCTCTCTCATGCCCTACAAATCCCATCACCGACGCATACTACCCGTTCGCAGAGCAATGAATGCCTCAACTTGTCTGCTGGTTACCCCCATCGTATTTCAGTTCTCATCTCGTCGCTGTCTTTTGGCTTTTGCGTCTGCGGTTGATTTTTATGGTTTCATTAGTACTCCACATGCGCATGTGGTACATGCTACCTCGCTGGAGTGGATGTGCGGAGATGCTTCGTCTCGGCTAACTGGTAGATGGTCTCAAAGATGCTACCAGAGACCGTCCAGTAGGCATTCGTTATAAGTTGCGCATGCGTAGTGCTCAAAGTTGTTGTTGTTGTGGTTGTAGTTGGCCAAGTTTTGTTGTCGAACGCGATGGCTGGCCTGAGAAAATTCTACTGACCCACAGAACTTTAACTTTTTGAGTGGCATTGTTCAATTTTACAACAGACAAACAACAACAGCAACGAATGGTTAGAAATTTCACAAGCCTGTTGGCTATTTTCCTGCTGCAACAACAACAACAACTGCAACAACAATGCGGCTGCCTTATATTTGTTGTTGCTGTGGTTAAACTAAAGTCTTGGGCATTTGACTCTTAACCATTTATTGATGCCACAGCGAAATTCTGCCTACGCTGCTGCTGCCCCTGCCCCTGCTCCTGCTGCTGCTGCTGCTGTTAAAACCGCAAAGCCAAGAGCCAACATAAATGTTGTGCTTGTGTTTCATGCACTTGTCAACTGCTGTGAACGAGCCACATTATTAATATTACCCAACACTGACCAACAAAACAGCTAAAAGCAAATATTGTTCAATGCTGGCTTAAAGCTGTTGCTCTCTCTCTCTCTTTCTCTCTCTCACTGTGCGACATATGCATAGGTGTGTGGCGTTGGCAATAAGAAATTGCGGAAATTGCCAATCGAAATGGAAAACATTTTCATTATTTGCTGCCGCTTTTGGTCATAAACAAGCCGGCTGCCCAGGTGTGTATGCATGTGTTCGCATGTGTGTGCATGTGTGTGCGTGTCACAAATTTATGACTGCCAACATAAATTTGTTAGCCACAGCAAACATATTTTGCCTGCGAGTAAGCCGAAAAATTGTCAACTGCGACCATCTACGATGGCAAAGAGAACTCTTTTTTTTTTTACTTTTTCGATTATTATTTTCATAGGCTTTTCATATGATCATTGATAGTGGATAGTGGAGGCAGAGAGATCTGTTAGTGAAATATAAAGCATGCGAGACAATAGCTAAGCCGATGTAGAGCTATAGACCCAGAGATAGCTATCTCTATCTATCTCTGAGCTAGCTATCTCTATCTATCTCTGAATCTAGCTGGTAAAACTTACTAAAGCAATAGATTCGGCATTTTAATTCATATTTCTATATGCCATCAAAAGGAGATTGGTTACAGTATTATGTAAAGTCGCGATATCGATAAATACCGATAGTTATTGATAGTTTCTTTCGCCTATATTTGGACTTGGAATGTCAATGCTCGTAAAGTATACATATATGTATATATAGCCTCTATAATTTATGTATTTTTTAATATGTAGAACACCTATATATTCAATCTATATACATATATATAGCTATGGCACATTTATACATAAATTATAGATATTATTTTATAGCTTCACAGAGCTACAAATAGATTTGTGTCTCGATAAAAACATAAAAAAAAAAAAAATTATCAGTATTGCTTAAATTACCATCCCAGCATATCTGCTAGTTCAGCATATCCGCCTAGCACACTCCTACTTATTTCTTACTTTTATTTTTTGCATGCCATCTGACATTGCCATTGATTTATCTCAATTCGCTTGGCCACACAGCCGTCAAGTGCTATAAACAAGAAATTTGTAATTAATCGGGCCGCAGCAACAACAACTTGCTGATTTGGCTAATAATTTTTGGCAGTCACATAAATTGGCCGCCTGTTTGCGTTTTGCGCCTTCCGTCTGGACTTCAATTTCAGTTTCCGCCTCTGGTTGCATGTTGAGCGTCTGGTTTCTAAGACACTTGGCTAGGATGCACCAACAGAGCTGATGATGATATAATGTTTGGTCAGCTTACGCTTGCAGCATGTTGCACGCTCTGTTTGGAGTGGGGCGGTTGGCGGTTGGCGGGTGCAAGTGATGCCACATGCGGCGCGCTATGCTTTCGCCCACCCGCTGGCTGGGCAATTAGTTGGTTAGAGCCAAGTGCCAGGACATAAGTCCTTGGATATTTATGTTCTGCGCAATGCTCAGATCCCTGGCTCAAAATTCAAATGTGCCAAAAAAAAAATACAAAAACAAAGAGGTGTGTCAATTGCTCTTGTTGTTGTTGGCTTGCGACGGCGCACCCCGTGATTTATGTAATGCATGCGAATTTTCATTGCTATATGTGTATGAGTGTGTGTGTGTGTGTGTGTGCAGGGTAGTCAACGGTCGCAGCCATAAATATGTCAATATAAACAGTCAGCCAAACAACTGCAGCAGTAGCAGCACGAGTAGCAGGAGCGGGAGCGGGAGCAGCAGCAACAAGCGAAACATTTCAATAAAAATCAAAATCAAAATCAAAATCAATAGCAAAACTTGGGCAAAAATATATTAGAACTGCTGAAAGTAGAGACTAGAAGAATACCCTATACGTATGTATGAAATGAGAAATTTGAGTAGTTTAGGCAACAGATAAGAGGGAGGAGAGATAGATAGTGATCGAGAATAGAGATAGATAATGGAATTCAATTAAACATCAGAAGTTACTCCTAAACTGTTATCAAATCAGAAATGAAGGCGGAAATATACTCTCGATAACAGCGACTGGTAAAGGTAACTAAGAAGATAAACCTAATAGAGTATATAACATGTAAGTGATTATATATAGACAGATGAAACAGTTTAGTAATTGTAAAAATGATAATATTAATAGCGTCTATCTGCTATAAAGTTAAATAAAAAACCTGCTCTTGCAGAGTATTCCATATAAAATGTACTCAAACAGCCTTCGACCCATTTAAAGTCCTATATATACAAGCTGCAGACTTTGTTCTTCTCATTTTCTTTCTATCTCTGTCTTCATAAATACATACATATATAAAATACATTTCAGCAAGTTTGAATACCCTATCTAAATAGACCTGCTCTCTGTCTCTCTTTCTGTTCTTGTCTCTCTCTCTCTCTCTCAATCGCACTTTTATATCCATTGCTCATATAGAACATGCAGGCTGCCTGCAGTTCTCTCTCTCTCGTTCTTACTCTCTCTCTCTCTTCCACTGTTTGCTTGTATGCCCATCTCTCTCATGCTCTCTCTCTCTCTCTCTCTCCACACAAAACCTATTAACATCTCTCCTGCTGCACTCAACTCTAAACAGTTGAATGACTGAAGCCAAATGCACGACAAATACGTGCCCGTTACCTAATCACTCCTTAGTTTTATATACCCCGTAAAGCATTTGCGGATATGTGTGTCTCTGTGCATGTGTAAAACGCCGGACGCTATCAACTTTAATGCGCCTTTGTTTCGGGTCGTCGACAATGTTTGTTTTTATTGTTTTTGGTTTTGTTTCTTTTTTTTTGTTTTTGGCAGGGCTGGGGTTGCAATTTGGGTTAAGAGAGGGGGTGAGCATGGCGGGGTTAGCCATTGTCAATAGCCTACAAATTGGCGCAGCGCATGGCGGCAATACATTTTTGAGTGGCTCCAATCGTATTTTTGTAGCCACAGGGGTTGAGTAATCGACAACGGCAAGCTATCCAACAATTCAGCGCCATATCGCACCGAACTCCATTGCCATCGAGTGTGCCCAGGTGTGCAGAGCTGACGCAGCAGCAGCAGTGGCAGCCACTGCGACACAATATGTTGGTCATATGCAGCAGCAGCGGCAGCGGCAGGAACAAGACCCCATTCTGTGGCATGACACCGTTGAAGGTGGCCCACTAGCCAAATACTGGCTGGCGCCCCTATAACTGGGCTCATGCCAGCAGCCGTGCAGCCAGCAGCCGTGCATGACTCAGGTTCAAGTTGGCGGCATGACTTTCAGACCGCTGACACACAAAATACACAAAAACACACACACACATACATATACACACATACATATATACACATATATCTATATATACATATCTCTACATATAAAATCAAATGGCAGGCGTTTATTAAAATTCGAGTAATACGAGCGAAAAACGTCGACTGCGATTCGAAGTCTCTGTGGCAGTTTTATTAAAAATGCAACAGCTATGCTGCCGCATAGGGAACGAGGGCTGCAGCAGAACGGAATGAGAGAGTGGTGGGGAGGGCGGGGCGGTGCTGGAGAGTGGCAGAGGTGGCTAGAGATTTGCCCAGATTTCAGGCACGACAAAAGGGTTGCATAAACAATTGCTTAAAGTGCACACACAGACACACACAGGGAATTGGAGCTGAAATGTGAACTTTGAACTTTGGGATGTTCTATAAGTAGAAAATAAAAACTGTTTCAACATATGCACATGTAGACATATGCAT